AGTGGTTGGCATTGGTAGCCGGGCACCATCCAGTTCTTCTAGTCTAGAGGGCCAACATGTCCTAGGGCTGATTGCTTCTACATGTCCTTTTTTTTTTTTTTTTTTTTTTTTTTTTCACTTCCAACGCTAGGAGACCATTAGCTGCATCTTAGATGGCTACTTGAAAGCTTTTACCCCAGTTGCTACTCACCAATGTAGTATGTGGAGCAACGCTTTTATGTATTTTGTTGTGCAAATTAAGTCTGATGTACCCCAGTACTATGGTCCTGAGGTAGTAGATCTATTGGATCTCTCTCCTATAGTGTCTGGATGTCTGAGAGGGATTACTCTGTGTCTGTCTTCTATTGTTTCTGTAAGGACTGCAGGTATTTTGTATCACTGGTGTCTGTACAAGATTAGCCTCAGCTGAGTCTATCCTTGGTCTAGAATATACCTCTATTCACTGACCCCTGTCTGATCATCTCAGGTGTTTGTCTTTATCTGTATAGCCTAGTGTTTGGTGTTAATGACCATGTTGTATTGTGGACACATTGGTTGTTTTAGCATCTGTCGTCTATCTCTTATGTACAGAGTTCGGTGTCCTCTTATTTCCCAATGTTATCAATGGTGGTCATATATCCTTCCCGTATATCCCTCCCCCTACCCATCCTACCCATGTCAGCGTGTAAGCCCCAACTAGCCCTAAATTAATCTCTCCCATTCCCTCCCCATCCCCGTAACCTACGAGGTGAGTTCCCTTTCCCAAGCAAACCCTTCTCTGTCTTTTTACAGTAATGAGCTCATACAGTACTTGTCCTTCTGCAATTGACTTATTTCACTCAGCATAATGTCCTCCAGGTTCATCCACATTGTGAGATGATTCGTGTATCCCTCATTGTTCTTTAATGAGGCATAGTATTCCATTGTGTAGATATACCATAATTTGGTTATCCACTCATACGTTGATGGGCATTTAGGTTGTTTCCATCTTTTTGCTATGGTGAATTGTGCTGCAGTGAACATAGATGTACATATGTCTGTTCGTGTGCTATCTCTCACCTCTTTAGGATATATTCCTAGTAATGGAATTGCTGGGTCAAATGGTACTTCTATTTTCAGTTTTTTTAAGGAAATGCCTTACCATTTGCTATAATGGTTGTACCATTTTACAATCCCACCAGCAGTGCACAAAAGTTCTAATCTCTCCACAACCCTGCCAGCATTTGTTATTATCTGATCTGTTGAACTTTGCTGTTATTGCTGGGGTGAGATGATATCTCATTGTTGTTTTGATTTGCATCTCTCTAATGATGAATGATCGTGAGCAATTTCTCATGTGTTTGTTGGCTGCTTGTATATCTTCTTTGGTGAAGTGTCTGTTCAAGTCTTTTGCCCATTTGTGAATTGGGTTATTTATCTTTTGGGTGTTGAGGTGTTGAAGTTTTCTGTAGATTTTGGAGATAAGTCCTTTGTCAGATATGTCATAGGCAAATATTTTCTCCCAATCTGTAGGTTCTCATTTTACCCTTTTGACGAAATCTTTTGATGCACACAAGAATTTAATTTTTAAAAGGTTCCAGTCATCTAGCTTCTCTTCTATCTCCTGCACATTCTGGGTTATGCTTAACAGTCTATTTATGCCGTAAATTTGGGCTCCTAGATTTGCCCCTATTTTATCTTTGATGAATTTTATAGTTTAGGGTTTTACATTTAAGTCTTTGATCCAGCTTAAGTTTGTTTTTGTGTATGGGGTGAGGTATGGGTTTTGTTTCATTTTTCTACAGGTGGATATCCAGTTTTGCCAGCACCATTTGTTAAAGAGGCTATCTCTTCCCCATTTAATGGGCTTTGGGCCTTTGTCAAAGATCAGTTGTCCATAGATGGATGGATCTATGTCTGAACTTTTGATTCTGTTCCATTGGTCTGTCTGTCTATCATTGTATCAATACCATGCTGTTTTGAGTACTGTGGCTATATAGTAATTCTTAAGATCTGGGAGTGTGAGACCTCCCACTTTGTTTTTCTTCTTGAGAAGTACTCTGCTTATTCGAGGTCCCTTTCCTTTCCATATGAAATTACTAATTAGTTTTTCCATGTCCTTGAAATATTTTGTTGAAATCTGGATCGAGATTGCGTTAAATGTATGGATTGCTTTAGGTAGTATTGACATTTGCACAATGTTTAGTCTACCTATCCATGAACAAGGCAGGTTCTTCCATTTATGTAGTACCCTTGTATCTCTTGTAGCAGTGTTTTATAATTTTCTGTATAGGTCCTTTGTGTCTCTGGTGAGGTTTATTTGTAGATATTTTATCTTTTTCATAGCTATAATGAATGGTATGGTTTCCCTTATTTCTTTATCAGAGGAGTCCTTCCTGGTGTAGAGAAATCCAACTGATTTTCATATGTTGATCTTGTATCCTGCCACTTTGCCGAACCTCTCTATTAGTTCCAGTAGTCTTTTTATTGAGTCCCTTGGGTTTTCTATGTATAGGATCATATCATCTGCAAATAGAGATAGTTTTAATTCTTCTTTGCCAATATGTATGCCTTTTATTTCTCTTTCTTGCCTTATTGCCCTGGCCAGGACTTCCAATACAATGTTAAATAGAAGTGGTGATAGAGGGTATCCCTGTCTGGTTCCCATTCGTAAGGGGAATGCCTTGAGTCTTTCTCCATTAATAATGATGTTGGCTGTTGGCTTTGTATAAATATCCTTTATTATGTTGAGGAATTTCCCTTCTATACCTATTTTGCTGAGAGTTTTAAATAGGAATGGATGTTGGATTTTATCAAATGCCTTTTCTGCATCAATTGATATAATAATATGGTCCTTTTCCTTTGTTTTGTTTATGCGGTGGATTACATTGATTGATTTTCTGATGTTGAACCACCCTTGCAAACCTGGTATGAATCCCACTTGGTCTGGATGTATTCATTTTTTGATATGTTGTTGGATTCTGTTGGCCAGGATTTTGTTAAAGATTTTTGCATCTATGTTCATGAGTGATACTGGTCTGTAGTTTTCCTTTCTAGTGTTGCCTTTCCCTGGTTTTGGTATTAGTGCTATGCTGCTTCATAAAATGAGTTTGGGAGTACTCCATCTTTTTCTATGTTCCATAAAAGTTTATAGCTTTGGAAACCCAGTGAGGGTCACTATGAGTCAGAATCAACTCAAAAGCAGTGAGTTTAGTTTTTTGGTTTTTTTTTTTTTTTTTTTAATGAATGTAATATGTTTCCTTATGTCTCTAAGGATATTAATGATAGTTGTTTGTTTTTTCCCTCACCCTGGCATATTCTATTTTCACCAAGTTGGTTTTTTCTGTTTTACCCTCATGTTTTTATTTTAGATGTTTCCTCAAATGTCTAACAGTCTTAACTATTTAAGGGAGGGGCGGTTAGATGCCGATTGGAGCCCTGTGCACGTGTGTAGAGAGGTTTCATTGGGAGATTTCCTAGGGGAAGCCTTAGTCAGTAACTGTAAATCTTTTCCCTTGTGCTGGTCAGATTCTTCAAAGAAGACTCTTCCAGTCTCCTTTCTGGAAAGTATTTTTCTAAATACCTTTTAGAAAAAGAAGGCTGAGAGTCTCAATATTCAGTATGTAAATTCCCCCTTTTTTCAGTAGGGATCCCAAGCCCTCAAATCTACCTACCTAAGGTCTCTCAGTCCAGAGATCCTTTATTTTATTCTCTTCAGCCTTCTAGTCTTCTTAAAAATAGGCTTTTAAATAATCCTCCTGTTTTTACCTCCACCTTTATTGCCATTTTCAGAGGTACTCTGAGCCTTATGGAGGTTTCACAGTGTGAGTTGGGTAACTTCCTGGCTTTCCCTACTGTTGACTTAGGATCCTGTGTTCTTGGGCTGCTAAATCAGTTACCACTCATACCCATGCTTTCCAGCTGTTCTGGTTACATAGTGCTGCTCTGACAAGAATATACCATGATGGGATGGCCTTAACAAACAGGAGTTTATTCTTACACTTTAGAGGCTTTAAGTCCAAGTTCAGAGTGCCAGGCTCTAGAGGCTGTGTGAAAGCCCCTCAGCCTTTTGGGCTTTAGCTCTGCCTCTTGCTCCTGGCCCACTGAAGCTAGAGGCATCTCTTCACTCAGGCAGCTGTTAGCTGCTGAAGCTCACAAGCCCAAGGTTGACAAATAAAATGGCATAGTCCCAATGTTACCAAAGTACACACATGGCAGGCCATTGATTCAAGTCCATTGAAAGTCTCAGGATTGGCAGAGCATGGCAGGCTGCTGAACGACTCGGCTACGTGCAGAGGTCAAGTGTGCCTTAAGCTAGAGACCATTCTCAAAGCTGTTCCTTATATCCAGGAAACAGACCACATACCCAAAGGTAGTACTCAGCTGCTCACAGTAGATTCCACCATGGAGTTGATTACCAGTCTCATCATGGGGAATACTACTTCCAGCTGCTCAGCCACTCAACCAGGCCCAGCCAAGTTGACACACAAAGTTAATTACCACACCACGTTCCAAGAGTTTCTTGGTATTATTTCCTCTCCCTTTCTTTTTGTTCTTCTAGTATGGGGACTTTAAAAAGTCACTTTAGTGGTGTTTTGGATGGGAGAGAAATCATATGTCTATGTTTAACCTACTGTCTTTTTCTATCTTTTGTATTGGAATGGCTTTCATGGGTTTGTGATTAAGGATAAAAAGAGTATTGATACATTTGTTTGCTTATTCAGGGGTTTGTCAACTTAGATGGGTCCAAAAGGAAAATCTTTCTTTCTTTCTTTGCTGAATCCTTATAAAGAAGAGTCACACTCATATAACACATACACATGTTCATGCACAATGACACTGTGGGAGTTCATCTCTTAAATCAATTCTAGTCAATTTTATGATGAAAAATAAAACCTAAGTTACTATAATGAATGTAGAGAGATTTTGAATCCCCTTGATCCTCTATCCAGAATGTGAACAGTGTTCTTTTTAGTGCTTCTACAATTATTCCTTCTGAAAACAAAAAGAAAGTAACTTTTCTACATTCTATAATTTTTCAGAATTTCAGTGTTTGAAAAGAAAGCAAATGATTATTCTGAGATTGAGACCCAGACTGAGGAGAGCACAGAAGCAGAGAAAGAAGAGGAGAAAGGCACGGAAACTGTGGGTACTAAGATTCTAAGACTCTTACCACATACCCAATGGGCATACCAATAGGTAGTATAGAAAATGGGTCAGAGTCTTATGTGTATATGCTTTGTTGTGGTTGTGCACTATCAAGTCGATTCTGACTCATAGGAACCCTAGTGGTGCCATGGTTAAGTGCTTGGCTGCTTGCTATCTGATAGGTCGGTGATTTAAAACCATAAGCAACGCCACAGGAGAAAAACCTGGTGATCTGCTCCTGTGAAGATTACAGTTTAGGAAACTCCATAAGGCAGTAGGGTTACTGAGTATATGCTTTAGAAGTAGGTTACTATGAGTATATGCTTTAGAAGTATAGAAATAACTTTAATGCTGAGTGTTTTCTACTTCTCTTGTTTTTGCTTATTCTGATTTGAATTGGTTCGTATAAATTGCAGTGAGATATATCCTATCAGTAGTCTAGGAAATTACTCCTGTACCTCTTTTTGACTAATTTCCTCTCCTAAGTACTTAAGTGAACTGGTCAGCTTAGTGAAAATGGAATTTTGTCCACTTTATAGTATGATCAATCATATGAGTGTCAAAAATAAACAACTCAGAACACTTTTAACAGATTACTGTGCAGGTTTAATAGACGTATTTAAAATTGGGCAGCACATTATTACTAAGTAAATCAGTATTGTGATTAATTAGGATTTTCAGGGTACTCATCTATAATTTCATTAGGAACTTTGAACAAAAATTTTTTGATTTGTTGACGATTATGTCAGAATAAACATAAATCTTAGAGCAATGTGTGCTCAAACGTTATCAAAGCTTAAATAGAAACCTTAGTGAGACAATCACAAGATCATTAAGCCATGATTACAAGACCTCTTGAGTCTTGGAAATAGTATATGTTCATTAAATTTCAATTGTTCTCTGCTTCAAAAAGTTAGTTCTAGTTCAAGGTATAGCTTATAGGTATTAAAAATTTTTTTTTATGTAGATATATGATTATACAAGGAGCTCTGGTGGTGTAGTGCCTAAGGCATTTGACTGCTAACCAGAAGGCTGGTGGTTCAAACCCACCAGCCACTCCTCGGAAGGAAGGTTGAGCAATCTTCTTCCATAGTGATACCGCCTCAGAAACCCAAGGAGGGGTTGTTATGAGTCAGATCCAACTCTACAGCAGTGTGTTGCATTGTTGCGTTGCATATGATTATACAGCGCATAGGTTTCTAGCATTTAATTAGATGATTTTAATGTAATGGGTAAGAGAACTCTCTGTTTTCATAAAGCAAAACTTCCAGTTTTATTTCACAGGAGGATAGGACATGACCAGGAAGCTTGAGGTAACACTGAAAGATTTTGGTTCTACTTGTTTGAATAAAATTGCAGGTGCATGTGTGTATGTGTCTACTGATTTGAATAAAATTGCAGGTGCGTGTGTGTGTGTGTATGTGTAGTTCTGTCATAACTTAGAGATATATCTTTGAGCCTACAAACAGAAAGCCTTAAACTTAGGGAAAGTTAATAAAGCCATGAAGTTACAGTATACACGGTAGCCCACATGATGCACATATACATAAAATACTCACTTTAGCTGATTCATTTATTCAGCAAATATATACTGAATGCCTACTGTATGTCATGCTCTGGACTGAGTCTCCTAGGATTTTAAAAGAATGGAGAACATTTAGAAAGTTGAGTTGATGAGACCACCAGTATTAATACCCTATTAAGTAAAACTAATTCAGTAACTGATAGAAAACTGCTGAGACTTCCAAAACAACATAAAACTCATTTATAATGATAATAGAGCTGCCAGGATTAAAAAAAAAAAAAAAACTATATATCAAAAAATAGTTGACTAAACTAGAAATATGGATTGGCAAAGGAATATGAGGGTGAGTTGTGAGCTGGATAAATAAGATTGTAGTTTTACAACACTGTGATCTGTGATCTCCTGAACTATGCTGTTAGTTGGCATCAAGTTGATTTTGATTCATGGTCACCCATGTATGCAGAGTAGAACTGCTCCATAGAGTTTTCAAGACTGACTTTTGAGAAACAGATCAGCATGCTGTCTTCTGAGGCTTCTCTTATAATGTTCAAACCTTTTGGCTGGTAGTCGAGTGCTTAACTATATGCTATACCCAGGGACTCTCCTAAATTTTGATGAGGGTTCATTTTAATTGTGATAAAGTCATTATTAAAAATGCATCCAAATTCACCAATAAATGCTTTAGGAGGAAACAGAGTTATGTCTCATAAAAAGGTTCATTTAAAGAGATTAAATCATCAGAGGATGATAAGCATATATCTGTGTTTGAAATCTCCTGTATAATAGGTTGGAAGTGAAGTGGAAACACTGAACCTTCAGGTGACAACCCTGTTTAAAGAGCTTCAAGAGGCTCATACCAAACTCAGTGAAGCAGAGCTAATGAAGAAGAGACTTCAAGAAAAGTAAGAATGAGAGATGAATTTTATCCTCCTAAAAATGTACATTTTTACGAAGTATGCTACTATATTATTGTTATATTTTTGCAAAATACGTTACTACGCAAAAACATGTTGTTTGTTATGTGCCATTGAGGCAGACCCAACTCACCCTCCTTGGGTTTCTGAGGCAGTATCACTACAGAAGTAGATTGCCCAACCTTCCTTCCAAGGAGTGGCTGGTGGGTTTGAACTGCTAGCCTTCTGGTTAGCAGTCTAGTGTCTTAGGCACTATGCTACCAGAGCTCCAAGGTAGTAGATCTTTACAGAAGTAGATTGCCTCATCTTCCTTCTGCAGAGTGGATGGTGGGTTAGAACTGCCAGCCTTCTGATTAGCTGTCAAATACCTTAGGCACTAGGCCACCAGACCTCCTAAAGAAAAATAGAGACCTAATTAAAATATGAATTTAGAAAATGCTAACGTACAGGTTGGGAGCTCTGGTGGCATAGTGCCTAAGGCATTTGACTGCTAACCAGAAGGCTGGCGGTTCAAACCCACCAGCCACTCCTCGGAAGGAAGGTTGGGCAATCTACTTCCATAGTGATGCTGCGAATACTGCCTTGGAAACCCAAGGAGGGGTCGCTATGAGTCGGATCCAACTCGATGGCAGTGAGTTTGTTGTTGCTGTTTTGTTTTTAATGTACAGGTTAATGTTCAAACAGGAAATAATTGTAGTCCTATGGGGGTGGGGTCAGTGGCCTTGATTCTGCTGTTTGGGGCCCTGAGTTAAGTATAAAAGCTCATGTGAATACCTGTATAAATCTGTGAGCCAGCTTTCCTGTGACTTACTTAAACTGACAACACTGACATGAACAAACATAAAAGAAAGTTGGAAAGAGCAAAAAGAGATTTGTTTAGAGAAAAAAATCATTTGCACTCAATTTTTAAGGATAACATATAAAATGAGAATTTTGCATTTGCTAATTTCTCATGATGTAAGAAGTTACTCAAAACCTAGGAAAACTAAACTGATATTCTATTGCACTAGTGGGAAAACATATTTCCAGCATAATATATAGATGTATGTTTTCTTGGATTTATACTTAGCACTGCTATACAGTGTTATGGTAACGTGGTACAGAATAGCAGCTAAAGCTAAGGACTTTAACAAACATAGGTTTAAAATAAGGGTCTACCACTTACTTGTGTTATTATATTGGCAAGTTACCTATCTTTGTAAAGTGTGTGTCATGTTCTTACTTCATATATGCTATTAAATTAGACAACATTTAAGTGCTTGGCATTAATGCCTTTCATATCACTACCATTGTATTGGGGGCTCTGGTACCGTAGTGCCTAAGGCACTTGACTGCTAACCAGAAGGCTGGCGGTTCAAGCCCACCAGCCACTCCTTGGAAGGAAGGTTGGGCAATCTACTTCCATAGTGATACTGCCTCAGAAACCCAAGGAGGGGTCGCTATGAGTCGGGTCTGAATCGACAGCACATAACAACATTGCTGTACTGAAATCTCTTTTTGATCTTTAAGAGGACATAGGGCATTTCCTATTAAATCTTCGTCAGAAGTCATAATCTTTGTGCTTAACAGAACCGATAGCTTCTTTAAATATAAAAGGTATTGATAGATCATAATAGAGAAGTACCTTTGGCCAATTACTACTTTGGTCTGGTTTAAATACAAATATATTAGCAAGACTGCTTAGAACAGTTGTTGAAAGTGGATAGTAACTCATGTGATCTTAGATCTTTGCTTTTCTGGACATAAGGGTTCAGAAAAATGAATGTCTAGGAAAAAGTCATGGAGGATAAAATATTTTATTTTGTACCATTAAATCCTTGAAAATAGAACCCTTAAGATGTTTTGTATTTGCTACATAATCTGTTGTTGTTGTTGTTATGTGCCGTTGAGTCAGACCTGACTCATAGCGACCCCTCCTTGGGTTTCCGAGGCAGTATCACTACGGAAGTAGATTGCCCCATCTTCCTTCAGAGGAGTGGCTGGTGGATTTGAACCACCAGCCTTCTGGTTATCAGTCAAGTGCCTTAGGCACTATGCTACCAGAGCTCCTGCTACATAATCTAGGTGTTTGGTTAAAGGCCACTGAGAAGTGAAGGAATACTGTTTGTTCTCATGAAGTCTTAATCTTTCTTAGGTGTCAGGCCCTTGAAAGGAAACATTCTGCAACCCCATCAGAGTTGAATGAAAAGCAAGAACTTGTATATAATAACAAAAAGCTAGAGCTACAAGTGGAAAGCATGAGATCAGAAATCAAAATGGAACAAGCCAAAACAGAGGATGAAAAGTGAGTATGCTATGATTGAATGGGCTACTTGCTGAAAGGAGATACAACAGTGATTTTAAACAGATTGGAATTAGGATTTGAGAATAAAATTATGAAATTTCTCATTTTTTAGAAGGAATAGTGGGAGACTTTGCTAAGGGAATAAGTTTTATCATAAAATTATGGAAATGATTTGCATTCTATTTTGATTTTTCAGGAAAGATTATTTTCTTTTAGAATAGGAAAATGCTAGTTGTTGGTGGGGTGATAAAGGAAAGCAGATTTTGCTACTTCAGTGTTCAGAAGAAGGTTAGTAGGCAAGTCTATAATTATGTTTCTATTACCCTCCCCAAGATTATCTTTTTTTTTTTTTAAATAGGGCCAAATTATCCACTCTACAGTTGACACACAGCAAGCTTCTTCAAGAACACAGTAATGCATTGAAAACAATTGAAGAACTAAAAATAAAAGAGGTATTCATACAAAAAAATATTATTTTCACACTTGCAATGAATGGCAACCATCAAACATTTTACATGTAAAATAGTTACGTTAATCCTTAACTAAGTCTGGTCTCAGGTTGTTTTTCAATTTAAACTTGATTTTTTTGCACATAAATGTTTACAACTTCTGATATTTTATATATGAGGGTATGTGTGTACATACATATATACATATATATACACACACACACAATACTCTTTGAGTACAAAGATAATGCTAATGTCCTCCACTCAGAATGAATGAACCACCCATTGCTGTAGAGTCTGCAGAGCCTTTTAAACTACTGGCCTTTTGGTTAGCAGCTCAGTTCTTAACCACTGCTCTATCAGGGCTTCTTTTTTCAGTCAGGCAAAAAAACAAAAACCCATTGCCTTCGAGTCAGATCCAACTCATAGCAACCCCTCCTTGGGTTTCCGAGGCAGTATCACTACGGAAGTAGGTTGCCCAACCTTCTTTCCGAGGAGTGGCTGGTGGATTTGAACCGCCAGCCTTCTGGTTAGCAGTCAAATGCCTTAGGCACTATGCTACCAGAGCTCCTTGTAACACTAACTTACTCAGAAAATTGTGTTCTTTTACTGCTTACAAATAATCATTTCCTGTAATACGTTGTTGTTGTTGTTGTTGTTGTTGTTGTTGTTATGTGCCATCGAGTCGGCCCTGACTCACAGTGACCCCTCCTTGGGTTTCCGAGGCAGTATCACTATGGAAGTAGGATTGCCCAACCTTCCTTCCGAGGAGTGGCTGATGGGTTTGAACCGCCAGCCGTCTGGTTAACAGGCAAGTGTCTTTAGCCACTATGCTACCAGAGCTCCCTGTAATACGTTAGGAAATGATTATTTGTAAGCAGTAAAAGAACACAATTTTCTGAGTAAGTTAGTGTTGCTAATTAACATAATAGTTTAGAGCCAATATTTTTTAGAAGTAAACCTTTATCTAATCATTTCAACACCATTTCAATAATAGACCTGTCTTTTTCAGTCAGAAAAAGTGGACAGGGCAGTGTTGCAGGAACTAAATGAAAAACTGGAATTGGCAGAGAAGGCTCTGGCTTCCAAGCAGCTTCAAATGGATGAGATGAAGCAGACCATTGCCAAGCAGGAAGAGGACCTTGAAACCATGGCTGTCCTCAGGGCCCAGGTGGGTTACGCTCTGAAAAATGGGCTCAGATTTTATATTTCAAGTAGGAAAGTTTAAAAAAATGAATATTTTTATTTTCTATTTTTCCACTATTTTTTTTCAACTTTTTAAATTGAAGTATATGTTGTTGTTAAGTGCCATCAAGTTGGTTCTAACTATGTGACCCTATGTACAGCAGAATGAAACACTGCCTGGTCCTGCGTCATCCTCACAATCATTGCTATGTTGAGCCTGTTATTGTAGCTAAGTGTCAGTCCATCTCAATGAGGATTTTCCTATTTTTCACTGATTCTCTAATTTACCAAGCATGCCATCCTTCTCCAGAGACTGGTCCCTCCTGATAACATGTCCAAAGTACCTGAGACGAAATCACTCCATCCTCTCTTGTAAGGAGCATTCTTGCTGTACTTCTTCTAAGACAGATTTGTTTGCTCTTCTGGCAGTCCAGGGTATAGTCAGTATTCTTTGCAAACACCATTAATTCAAAGACATCAGTTCTTCAGACTTCCTAAATCACTGTCCAGCTTTTGCACACATATGAGATGACTGAAAATACTGTCACTTGGATCAGGCTTACCTTAGACTTCAAAGTGAATCTTTGTTTTTTAACACTTTAAAGAAGTCTTTTGCAGCAGATTTGACCGATGCAATTTATTATTTAATTTCTTGACTGCTGTTTCCATGGGTGTTGATTGTGTATCCAAGTAGAATGAAATCTTTGACAACTTCACTACTTGCTCCATTTATCACAATGCTGTTTATTGGTCCATTTGTGAAGATTTTGTTTTATGTTGAAGATTATAGTCTTTGATCTTCCTTAGTAAATGCTTTAGGTCCTCATTGCTTTCAGCAAGCAAGGTTGTGTCACTCCATATCACAGTTTGTTAATGAGTCTTCCTCCAATCCTGCTGCCATGTTTTTCTTCATATAATCCAACTTCTCAGATTATTTGCTCAGCGTACAAACTGAATAAATATGGTGAAAGGATACAACCATGATGCATATGTTTCCTGATTTTAAACCAGGCATTATTTCCTTCCTTGTTCTATTCAAATGGCAGCTTCTTGGTCTATGTACAGGTTCCACATGAGCACAATTAAGTGCCCTGCAATTCCCATCTTCACAATGTTGTCACATGTGGAAAAGTGCACCAATCTTAAGTATAGAGCTCAGTGAATTAGCATAATGCAAACACTGGTGAAACCACTAATCAGATCAACAACAGAGCATTATCAGCACTCTAGAAACCCTCTTCCCACCTCTAACCCATTCAGTTATTTCCTCCCCCTTTTTTCCAAAATGTAACCATGATTCTGACTTCTAAAACCCTAGTTTACTTTTTGACTCTTGAACTTTATCTAAATGGAATCAAATATTTTCTTTTTTTTTTTTTTTTGAGATTGGCTTTTCCATCAACATTAAGTTTGTGAGATTCATCAGTGTGGTTCCAATAGCTGTAGTTCTCCCATTTTTGTCATTTTATTGGATTTCATTGTATACCATTAGTCATTTATCTGTCAACCATTGTTGGATAATTAGATTATTTCTAGTTTGGTGCATTATGATTAATGTTATGACATTTTTGTATATGCCTCTTTGTTTACATGTGCATGTATTCTATTGGGTACATAGTAAAATTGCTGATTCATAAGATATACTTATTAACTGATATTAATAGATAATTCCAAATGGTTGTACCAGTTTTCGCTCCCATCATCAGTGTTTGAGAGTTCCCATTGTGCTACACCCTTAACACCACTTGTATTATTGGTCTTTTTCATTTTAGCCATTCTGGGAGATATGTAGTGGTATTTTACTTAATTTGCATTTCCCTGATGAATAATAAGTTTGAGTACTTTTTCAAATATTTATTGTTCATTTAAGTATTTTCTTTTGTGCTAGATCAAATATTTGTCTATTTTTATTTGGTTTGCTTGAAATTTTCTTTATTTTGAAGGAATTCTTTATGTACTCTAGATATAAATCCTTGTCAGTGACTTGCCTTTTCCCTTTCATAAGATGTCTTTTTTAATGTATCTTAAAAGTTCTTAATTTTAATGTAGTCTAATTTATCAGTCTTTTCATTTATGATTAGTACTTTTGGTATTGTGTTTAAGAAACTTTCAATATCCTAAGACCACATTCTGTGTTATCTTCTAAAAGCTTTATTGTTTTATCTTTTACATTAAGATCTACTTTGCCCTCTTTGTCATAAATTGTGTCCATGTACACATGAGTCTGTTTATGGACTCTCTATACTGCTCCATTGGTTTATTTGTATATATCATTTATCTGATACTATCTTGTCTTGATTTATTTTAAAGCATAAAAAAATGTTAACATCTGGTAGAATAAAGTCCTCCTATTTTGTTAATATTCTTCAAGAGAACATTAGGTATTCCTTTTCTTTTACATCTTCATATAAATTATAGAATCCATTTGGCATATGCCATATACATACACACACAAACCCACTAGAGTTTTGATTGGAGTTATATTGAATATTTATAGATCAATTTGGAGAGAATTAACATCTTTATACTATTTACTCTTCCAATCCATGAATATGGTATATCTTCTTTAATTGTTCTCAGTAATGTTTTGAATCTTCTTAGTGGAGATTTTGCTCATTTTTAATTAAATTTATTCTAAGACCTATACAATATCTAATAAAAATATAAATAATAGTATATCTAATAAAATATGCCATTTTAATATTTTTATAATACACAGATAATAAATAATAGTATCATAAAATATTAAATAATCGTGTCATTAAAATATTAAATAATCGTGTCATTAAAATATTAAATAATCGTATCATTAAAATATTAATAATGGTATATTTTTTAAAAACTTCATTTCCCGAGGGTAGCTGATATATAGAAGTAAAATTGATTTTTTGTTTATTGATTTTGTATGCAGCAAACTTGCTCAACTCACATTTTAATTCTAGTAATAGTTTTAAATATTCTTTTGAACTTTCTACATAAATATTTACATCACGTTAATAATAACAAAGTTTTTTTTTTATTTGTTCTTTCTATCATTTATATCTTTTTCTTGTTTTACTGCACTGGCAAAGACTCGTAGTACAATGTTGTAGCATAGTAAAGAGAGCAGACACCTTTGTTTTGCTCCCAATCTCATAGGAAATGCTTTCAACATTTTATTGCTAAGTGTTTGTTATAGACTTTTTGTAGATGTAATTTATCAGATTAAGGAAATTCCTTTCTCTTTCTTGTCTATCAATTTTTGTTTTGAACAGATGTTGAATTTTATTTAGGAATTTTTTTTCATATAATGATATAATTAGATAATTATATGTGTTTTCCTTTTGTTAATGTGGTAATTATATTGATTTTTTTATTATTAAACAAACCTTGAGTTCCTTGAATGATCCTCTGTAAATGTTTCTGGATTTGGCTTGCTAATGCTTTGCTTAGGATTTTTGTGTCTATATTCTTTAGTATGATTTTTTTTTTTTTTAATTGTGATTTGGGTGAAAATTTACAACACAAATTCACTTTCCATATAGCAGTTCACATACACTTTGTCTCATGACACTGACCACAATTCACCACAATGCAACAGGACCTCTCCCACTTCTTCCTCACAGTCACTTCTTCCCTGTGTTCATCCTTCCATGCACCCCTGCCCCCTCAGCTGTCTCCCTGTGCATAAACAGCCCTTCTTTCTCCCATGATTGTTCTCTCCAAGGAGTGTATCTACCTCAGGTAAATGTTCAACTCATATGCCTGTCTTTTGTTTGGCTGGAAGCCACAGGTGTAGGTTCAATCCCAGACCTGAAGGGCAGCTAGGGGCCATAGTCTCAGTGGTTCCACCAGGCTCTATCAGACCACAATATTTTTAAGTTAAGTAAATATTACCTAATTGTCTTCCAAATATGCGCAGCCCAAATTATACTCACCAACAGTCTATGAGAGCTCCTGTTTCTCTATGTCCTGGCCATCATTCCTTTAAATCTTTGCCACTCTGATGAAAATAAACAGATCATTTTTTAATTTAACGAAGTCAACAATTTATCATACTCCATATAACCAAACCAAACCAAACTCACTGCCATGGTGTCAGATCTGACTCATAGTGACCCCTCCTTGGGTTTCCAAGGTGGTGTCACTAAGGAAGTAGATTGCCCAACCTTCAAATATGCATTATTAACAACTGCACAGAAGGACTGACTACAGTGAAATGTAGCGTTTCTTTTACCTTGGGTACCTTGTGCTCTACTGGGTTGTTCTACTCTTCTGTAGTCATATATTTTTGCCATATTCTATACATTGATAATTGTTTTGTCTGGATGGATACTCTTGTTCATTCATTCAACAACTCTTTTTTAGCACCCTTGTCAGATACTGTTCACTCTTCTTGGGCTATAGGAATGGACAAAATTAAGACCTTGTTCTGACTAGATCCAAGCTCATAGTGACCCCCTTTGGGTTTCCGAGGCGGTAAATCTTTACAGAAGTAGATTGCCCAGTCTTCTTTCTATGGAGTGGTTAGTGGGTTTAAACCACCAACCTTCTGGTTAGCAGTCAAATACCTTAGGCATTATGCCACCAGAGCTCCTTGTCTTACTAAATCAAAGCTAATAAGTTATGGAAGTGAGATTCTAACTCAAACTTAGTTCTGACTCAAAAGCCTATGATCTGTCAATGATACCAATCATAAGATCCTTAAATGATCTTTTTTTTTTTTTTTTTCTAACTGCAGTTTTGATAAAATGTTTAGATTTTTGTTAATTTTATTCTTAAAAATAATAGATAAATATAACTAATGTCACTGAATTGTATGTTTGAAGAATGTTGAAAAACAAATGATGTATTACATATATTTACCACAATTTAAAAACAAAGTAATAGATAATAATTTTCATCCTGAAACTATTAAATCTGAAAAGAAAAAGCCTATAATTTTAAACATAGAAAGTTATAAACTAGTATTAGAATAGTGCTTAATTTCTAACATTAGTAAGTGGT